CAATAACTCGACGACTGAGAATTGTGTTGGATACAATTTGGATGAGTAGTATGAGACTTGGGGTTTACATATATCATGTATCAATATCGTCTTGGAAGGTGTCTAGTCGGATACGGCTTGACCGACTCGTATCGGTATCGAGTAATTAAGACCACCAAGGTTGGTTTATATACTTGAGGAACCACTCCATTCATTGCCAATTGGTTTTGGGTTTGATGCTTTAACATGGTATCAGAGCCGGATCTTGGGTGGTTAGTGAGTCAAATCTCTAANTACTTGAGGGACCACTCCATTCATTGCCAATTGGTTTTGGGTTTGATGCTTTAACATGGTATCAGAGCCGGATCTTGGGTGGTTAGTGAGTCAAATCTCTAACCATTTGAATTTCTCAATTTAAATGGTTGTTTGTTTATTTGTTGACTCCATGTGTTTGTCCAAGTTTCATGTGAGGAAGAGTGTTAAAAGAGCTTATATCTCACATAGAGTAATTAGGACCACTAAGGTTGGTTTATATACTTGAAGGGTCACTCCATCTATTACCAATTGGTTTTGAGTTGGATGTTGTATCACGACATCAAAGCTGGCTTGTAGGTGATAAGTGGGTCAAATGCCACTTACTCATTTGAGTTTCTTAGTATGCATAGTTATTTGTTTGTTTGTTCCCAACATTCAAGTCCAAGTCTCACATGAGGGAAGGTGCTAAGAGAGCTTGTATCCCACGTCGAATAATTGAGATAAAAAATGTTGATTTATGTACTTGAGGAGTCGCTCCGCCCATTGGCAATTGGTTTTGTGTTGGCTGCCCTAACAAGTAACAACCATAAGTCCAAACAACATGGTTCTCTGTACTTAAGAAAAAGAGCAATCCTATAGGGATATAATTTAGAGGCATAATTAGGGGATATAATGTATTTTGACCAATAGAGTGTTAGTGAAAGGCATTTACTGCTGTAATGAGTCTTATCATTAAATGCATTCTCTATTACTTCATTTGTCACAATGTATTATGTCCCTCAATTATGTCTCAATAGCATTAGTGAAAAAAAAATTATACATAACTATGATGATTCATTTAATCACACAATGCCGATTTCTGTAATTTTAACCTTTATGTTTACTATTTATATTCTCAATGTATAATCAGACTGTCCAATAAATTGTATATCAAGCATTCATCTGATTTCTTTTAATAGTTGTACTTTTTATGCTAGAGGAAATTGATAGCCCAGCGTCCAAGAATCATCTCAACATGCTGCTGAATGTTCAAAAAGTGTCAATTAAATATCCAACAAGTGTTAGCCAAGTGTTTGTAATTTTGAGTTTGATAATTTAGCTATGTAAAAATAACTATGATGTATCAGTCATGTGTCCAAGAGGGTTAAGAACAGCACAGATATGACACCTTATTATTAGGCTTAGTTCCATTCTAGGAATCACAATATAGAAACCAGTACATATGCTTTTTTGAATCATGTGACATATTATTTGGACCTTAATTTGGTGGTTTGTTGGATTTTAACTATTGTACACACAGTGAAAGAGAGGAAAGGATTTTAACATTTGATGCATCTTGAACAAGAGTGTTCAAACTTCAAATCATTCAACTTTGTTCAAAAGAAAAACTGTGTCAATATACCAAACAGAACTGTCATTTTTGGCAGATAACTTTCCTTTTGCTAGAGAAATATATTATAGGTGTCAAATAATCAACTCATATGGTAACAGCCCACAAAAAAAGGTGGTTCTAGTTTCAGAATTAGGTCAGTTAAAAAAAAAAAAAGGTTTCAGAATTAGGAGAAACAAAAGAAAAAACAATAAATGGAATGGAGATCTACTGCTTCTTTTAATCATTATCTTAGTCTGCTAAAAATTTATCCTGTTAATCATTGATGCCTCATTGAATTTGTGTCATGCCCTTCTTAGTTCAAAAAAAAAAAAAAAACAAAAAATGGAATACGGAGGAATTATCCATGTCACTTTTTAGATAGGCGTGGAGTGAAAGTTTACTGATTTTTTAATGGGCATGAAGACTTAATCATCCAGATTAGTTTTCAAGGATTTGTGTTTTACATCTTTCAGTGAATCCTAGACTTTGGATATATAGAAGAGTAACTTCTTGGACTTGATGATAGTGATTTGCTTGTAATTGTTGGAGATAGTACTAATATGGTTGGCAGCCTTGACTCTGAGGTAGCTGTGTGATTAAAGTGATGCGAGAGGCATTGATGGAGAGTTTTTATGGCAGCCATGTTTTGCTTTAAGTTGAGAATGACAGCAACAACTAAGTTACATACTATGTCCTTTCACAATTTGGGTGTTGATCTTGCTAGAAATGACTCTTTAGCAAGAGACGGAATCATTTAAGGGTAGCTATGACTCCAGGTTTATATCATGACAGCAACAAAATATTGTCCTTCATGATTTGGATTTTGATTTCACTAGAAATTGACTCTTAGGAAGTGATGGAATTATTGAGTGAGGTTATTGCTACTCAATTTTGTGGACTTGAGAGAAAGCTCATTTAAGTGACTTATCATGATTAAAGCAAGATTTTGTATGATCAAGTAGCTACAATTTATTTGTCTAAAGGTTGTCTAAGTGAGAAAGGCATGTGGTAGGTGGTCTATTTATTAGGTTCATTCATTGTACACCTAAATACACATCAATGCGGTTTCTATGTGTATTAGGTTCTGTACTCATCAGTTTCATTGACCTTCTTCAGCAAAAATATTAGCTAAGCAAAAAATTCTTTTCGTTCAATTGATTTTGATGCTTTAGAAATTGTCCAAGACTGAAATTCTTTGCCTGGACTTTCCTTCAGAACAAATTGTTGTTATTGTCCTATTATTTATGGCTTTTTAGTAACATGGTATTCATTTTTTTTTTATTAGAATTCCGTTCACCAACTAACTGTATTATGAGTGGAGAGCCCCCAGGCCCACACACCCGCCAACCCCCAAGTTTTTGATGACTTGTAAAGTAGATGACCACTATTGCAAAACACATATTCAATTTTTGCCTTGATACCTCCTACTTCGGTAGCTGCTTTAAAAAAAGTTCCCAGGTTTGGTGTTAAGGAGATCTCTCTCCCTCTCACCGGTACACCATGAAACATGCTTTTGCACACAGCCGCATACAAACTAAAGCATTGAGAAAGTTTGTGTAACGTTAGTGAATGCAGCAGTGATAAAGAAGATGATTTTTGTTGTGCATTGTTGGGAATGGCCAAAAATAGCTTAAGCACACTTAGACGATCATTGAGCCTTAAAGTCACTATGGCTCATGTCTAATCTGATCATAAGGAGCAAGCCCCTCAAGCTGTCATGCAAAACTGAGAATAAGAATTTATGAGGGTCTCACTTGTAGGAGTTTATAAATTACTTGCTTTTTAAAGAAACGAGATAAACTCTCAGAAAATTGAACAGGTTGTCTATAACTACTTTGTAATTCTCTAATTACAAGTGATTTACATACCTTGAGATTATTTTGTTGTCCATTTTTTGCAGGGTGATGAAGCTTGTGTCCATTTCAGTTTCAGCTTCTAGGTTTCAAGCGATTTAGAGGCATTGTGTTGGTCAGATCCAGATGTGAGCCGAATGTTGCACCATGGGTTACTGAACTCCATGTGTTAGAGAAGTTACTCTAGTGTGATTTGTGCATGAAAATTGTGTTTTTGAAAAAAAGGTTTTTCATTGAAAGTGTGTTTTCAAAGTATGTTTTTTTATTTGAAAACAACAGTAATTTGATAAATAACTATGCTATTTGGGTCAATAAGTTTCAAAAGAACTGTAGTTAAATAACTAACTGAGATAGTATTATAGTGTTTAATTGAAATATGAATATTTTTTTGTTGATCAGATTACTATTTATAAAAATTTCTTGTTTTATAGGTAAAATTTTAAAGATAGAAAGGGACATTGGCGGCGTCAGCAATAGGCATTTATTTAATTTTAAAAACGACTTGTGGGGGAAAACATGTTTATTATATTATGAATTATGATTGTGTGCAGCAAGCAATGACTTTTAGGTGTTAGTTTGATGTTTCCTTTTTATCATATCTTGTGAGGACAAAAAAAGGTTTTGAGGGATGCAACACATGCATTTAATTATGTGGTAATTTGATAGTGATATTATGCGTGATTAAATTACTGTGTTTTTTTTTTCTTTTATTTGAACATCTGTCATTAGTTTAGTTGGACTATGACAAAGGTGTGTCTTTTCATCTATCTTCATTTAAATATTATAACATGTTGATTAAATATCCCGGCTTTCAAATTTTAGAGTATTGATGGAATTTGTTTGCTTCGGGTTTCTCTTTTGAGTGATATAGTCAGAGATTTAAGTGCATAAAATAGCATATGAAGGCAACATAATCTTGGCAACTTATATCGCATCTAAGTAGATAAAACTCCTTGTTCAGGTTTGAGTTCAAGAATTAGTCTCTAAGAATGTCCAACTGTTATTTATAAATCTCATTATAAATGAGAGTCTTGTGCATTTAAGTACATCGTTCTTGTTCATATATATACAACTGGCAAAACTAAAATTACTAGGATTGATATCTCCGTCCAGGCTTGTGCTGTCGGTGAGTGTAGTGTAGGGTTACTCTGACTCGGAATTTTGGCACAATTAATGGACATGGCTTAGAATTTTGGCAGTGTGTTCTGACTCTTTGAATTCAATGCCATGCTTTCTAATTTTTTTTTATTAGATAAGTGAGTTTTATTAATATTGAATAACGAAAATTGTGTTACATCATTTAAAATAAAATAAAAAATTTGGTGGCGTGCATAGCATTCTTGGTATGCATAAGCATGTAATATTTTTTCACTCTCACTCAACCACTAAAAGAAAATAAATAAACGAATAGAAAGAGAAGTGATGGATAGAAAATCATCATTCTACAAGCAAACCATCGGATACAATACAAAAGAATCGAAAGGCTGAAAACACATGCAATATGAAAGACTTCATGGCATGGCAGTGATGGATAGAAACCCATGCACTGCCATGCTTATTTGTTGGGCACTGAACTGACAACTCCTAATACCTCAAGGACCAGGTGGTGCAGGAATACTGCTACCACTCCCTGGGACCGGGATCTCGAACCCGGAATTTGTGACAAAGGTGTCGTCACCACCGGGAACATAACTGCCGCCGCTGGTCCTGCCACCGGATGGAATGCTGCCAAAGCCAGGGATGGGGGCACCGGTTCCCCCATTGGTGCCGGTGACGGGATTGTATGTGAATGGATTGAAAGGTGACCCTTCNGTAGTTAAATAACTAACTGAGATAGTATTATAGTGTTTAATTGAAATATGAATACTTTTTTGTTGATCAGATTACTATTTATAAAAATTTCTTGTTTTATAGGTAAAATTTTAAAGATAGAAAGGGACATTGGCGGCGTCAGCAATAGGCATTTATTTAATTTTAAAAACGACTTGTGGGGGAAAACATGTTTATTATATTATGAATTATGATTGTGTGCAGCAAGCAATGACTTTTAGGTGTTAGTTTGATGTTTCCTTTTTATCATATCTTGTGAGGACATAAAAAGGTTTTGAGGGATGCAACACATGCATTTAATTATGTGGTAATTTGATAGTGATATTATGCGTGATTAAATTGCNGTGACGGGATTGTATGTGAATGGATTGAAAGGTGACCCTTCCGTTGGGACCATGACCCGGCCGAAGCCCGGAATGAGCACACTGCCATCAAAAAATGACTCGGGTTGTTTCTTGTCTGTGTTCTTGGAGTCATTCATTGGGATGTCACGTCGTGCATGTGCATGACCTGATAAGGAGAGCAGGACATTAAGGATGAATAGGAAAGCAAGGATTGATCCAGATTTGTAAGCCATTTTCTTCTGTGTGTGTGAGAGAGAGAGAGAGAGAGAGAGAGAGAGGAGAGAGAGAGGGAGGTAACACTAAAGGGCATTTTGTCTTTCTATACAGCTTCAGCGGCCAATAAATGTAGTGTAATTTGTGGCAAACTAGCAATCGTGCGTTTCTGTGTGGGATCATATGTAATGTCAAGCTTCTTTCTCTCCGTTTATTCCCTAGTGAGCTATGAAATTCAGGGGAATGGTTGAGACCTCTATGAAGGAGTAGGCATTATACCGTTTTGCTCGTAGTAGTAAAGGAACAAGCACCCACACAAGGACAATAGTACAATTAATCTACACTATAACGACCTGTCTGTTTAGTGTTTACCGATTTTTTTTTTTTTTTTGGGGAGGGGGGAGTTTGGAGAGAGGGTTTAAATAGCATTACTCTTAAGAAAAATAGTTTGATAGATTCCGTAATTTTGTATTTGGTTAGTATCTTTAAATCTGAGATCCATATTTCGATTCGTAAGTGACTTGGTGTATTAAACCCATATATATGGAGTTGGGCAGACCTAGGGGTGGTGGGTTACATATATCCTAGCCTATGTTAACTACGTCAAATGATTCTTTTATCCCTAATAAAATATCCTATCTACCAAATCACATCTCAACCTCTCAATTACTCCTCTATGTAATTAAATAAATATGAGTATGAATTAGATTGACCCCATGGGTAATATAATTATTTACAAAACAAATATGCGTGCATAATTGTGATAAATTCATGAGTACTATATGTATATATGTTACTTACCAAATACAGATATGAATAGGATTCATATATGAATCCCATATACACAAAGGTGACGGTTGAGTTTAAAAGGGTTAGATAAAACCAATCCAATCCCTCCCCAAAACCATCCAAACATTATCAGAGTGTATAGAAAAACATTCAAACAAGAATGAGAGACAAAGAAAGATGCCATCATCTATAGAGAGGTAAAATTCATTAATTATCAATCTCCCATTTGAAAAAAAAAATCAAGAGTTACTAACTGAGGTAACATTGTTAGGTAACTTAGTGTCAATTAAATTATTAGTGGATTTCAGCATTAAATGTACTCTATTATCAATCCAATTGTCATAATACGTTATATCCTTAAATTATGTCTTAATATCTAATACCACCATCACCACCAGTTGCCACCACAATTACACAGTTTGCATTTTTCTTGTCAATTTCATCCTTAATATATGAATTTTATAAATTTGGTCCATAACATATTCAATTCATGTTTAAAAGGGCCCTAACTAGACGATCCATTAAGTTTTTTGACGGAAGTCACCACGTGTCATTCTGTCAGATAGTATCACGTGACCAACACGTGATTATTTCGGTCAAAAACTTAACAAATTGGCTATGTATAGATCATTTAAACCACTAACTTACTTTAGAGACTAAATTGACATAATTGATACAATGAGAACAAAACTGATAAAACATGTATATTTTTGGGGCTAAAAGTGCTATAATATATATTTTAAAAGAATATTAAAATTCTAAAATTCAAGTTTTATTTAAAAATAAACTATAATTTATTTTTTTTATATAAAACTATTAATAAAACATGAAGAGTTTACTATGATTGAAGAATTATGTTGATTTAACATAAATTATTTTAAAAAAAAACTACACATAAAAAATTATTTTTTATCTTAAAAATGAAATGGTTGAAATTTTACATAAAACAAATATACATATATAAGCATAATATTATCTTTATATTTGAAATAAGTAATGTTAGATTGATGAAAGTTTTGAAGATTTTTTGAGCACTTTATTGAAAACTATACTGATGCATATATTTTTTAAGAGTAACGTAATTAATTAAAAAATTTCATAGATACTGATATTTATATATAGGGAATAGAGAATTAAAAGAAATATTAGAGGTAATTTGGAGATTTAAACACATAAGTATATAATAGTAGTTTAGATATTTAACTACGGAAGAATAATGTGGTATTTAAAATTCTTTATAAGAGTAAAATAATGAATGAAAAAATTTCATTCTAAAATACTTTTATTAGTAGTATAGATATAGATTATTAGTAGTATAGATAGAATATATATATGATAATGATGAGATCCTGAATATGAGCCGCCATCCAAGAGTCCAATAAAGTCCAGGGAACCTTTATCAGCATAACGACCCGAATAGGAGCACCCACAGATGGTCTACATCGAGAGCGGAGTGGGTCAAACCCAAAGAGTAAATCCCAACAATTCCAGAAGACCTAAGGTCCAGCCCAATCCTAATTCAACCCAGCCAAAGGATGACCTAGGATAAAGAAGCCTGGCCTAATGTCTGTCCTGGATTACTCCCATCGCACCAATTGTCTTGGGAACACAGGGACCACTCCTGACATCCAGGACAATGACGTACTCCCTGGAGCAGAGAGCGTTTGTGCGCATAACCATCCAGGGATCGTGGTAACAGTGGTGCCGGATGACAGAGGTTACTACAGGACATGGGCGGGAAGACCCACAAAATCAGTAAGGCGAAAGGAGGAGCAACAAGAAACCCTAGAAGAATCACTATATAAATAAGGCACTGTTACCTGGAAAAGGGAGAGAGGATCCCCATTACACTCTTGAGCCCAAAATATAGCAAATAAGAAAAAAAAGCATATTCCGTGTAAGAACCCAATATTTGCAAGACCATTGTATTCACAAAAGATTGAGTAATATACGATCTTGAGGAGTAAGAGACTCCATTATAGTGGATGTAGCCTTAGTCCTTCCGCTAAGGTGAACCACTAACATTTTGCGCTCTTTTATTCTCTAAAGATTAACCTCTTGATCAACTAAATCCACTAAAATTCTCAAAATGTTATTGATTGGGCTTGAGCCATTATTTTCGAGCACCATCAGTTGGCGTCGTTTGTGGGAACGGTTTTCATCGTAATCCCTTTGAGTTTTTATTTTGATGGTTTCAACTTGCAACATGAGTAAATCTCATGCCCATCCCCAAGTTCACCAAAACTTACTGGAGAACCTTTTAGCTCCCGAGGTAGACGTCGAGAATCACCCCCTAGCGGTGGACATCCCTCTGCTCAATGAGTTAGAAGCTAATCGTCGAACCACGATGCAACTAAAAAGCATAACCAAGATTTGATGATGTGGATACAAGCACACCAGCTTCCGCAGTTCTCTCCAGCACCTCAGGAGCCTCCTCTACCTCCGGCACAACATGACGTTCCCCATCAAGAACGCCAAGTCCCACCTAATGGAGTCACAGAGCTCCATGAGCATAGCCATTCCAAAGAGAATCACCGGAGCAGACATCTGGAGGAACATGACGAAGATGAGGCCCATAGCTAAGCCAGAGCCGCCTATCGAGAAGACAGACCTCATCCCCCACCAGAAGCCATGGATCACTTATGGGAGCAAAGACTTCGCGAGCTCCAGCGAGAGGTCGAAAACGTGAAAAAAGTGGTTTAGAGGAAGACTCCCGACACTATGGACGACCTAGTCCAGCAAACCGAGTCACCGTTCGCTCCCGAAATCCTCCACTTTGCTCTCTCCTAGAAGTTTTGGATGCCATCAATAGAGGTGTTTGACAGGACCAAAGATCTAGTTGACCACTTGAACTTCTATAAAAACTAGATGGAACTCTAGGGGTACCCAGACCCGATCCACTGTCGAGCTTTTGCCATCACCCTTAAAGGGTCGGTAATCGCTTGATTTAATAGGTTGCAATCATCATCGATCTCCTCCTTTAGAGCTATCTATACAATTTGTCTCACATTTCATCGGAGTGAGGACATACAGGAAGCTATCCTACCACCTTCTAAGTGTCAAACAAGGGCCCAACGAGTCCCTCCGGAGCTATATGCAACGCTTCAACCAAGAGTGCCTAAAGGTAGAAAGTGTGGATGACAAATTCGCTCTTACCACCTTCATGTCCGGACTTAGAGTCTAATCTAAGGACCTCCTATTTTCGATAGCCAAAAACCTTCAGGCCACCATGGCTGAAGTGCTCGTAAAAGCCAAAAAATACATCAATGGCGAGGAAGCCCTTTTCCTAAAATATGGCTCGATGTCGGCAAAAAGAGACAAGAAGAAGAGGGACTATAGTCCCAAGAAGGAGTGAAAACATGATCGCTCCTTGAGAAGAGATTGTTCTTCGAGGAGAAAAAGAGAGTCTTCTCCTAAAAGGAGGGGCAACGTCAACAAGCTCTTGGCGAAATCCGTGTTATCTCGGGAGGTTTCGCAGGACGGGACAAGTCCAGTTCAGCATGGAAGGCGTACGCCATGAGAGCCCAGTTAGAAGATTTCCTTGAAATCCAGGCCATCCGAAAGGCACCCCGCAGAGGCATGGAGATCGCCTTTTTTGATGCAAACCTCGAAGGATGTTAGCACCCGCATGACAACCCTCTGGTCATAAAGGCAATTGTTGCCAACAAAATTATACATCGAGTACTCGTCGACAATGGAAGCTGAGTAGACATCATCTTCATATTGGCCTTTGATCAACTTG